TTTCTCTCTCTCTCTCTCTCTCGAAAAAGAAGACAGCTACAATCTTTACATTCTCCAATATATGCTTCAGTTTGTTTCAACACTTTGCTTTATTATTAATTATTCGTCCCACTTCAAGCCAACTTGTCCATTAACTGAAGTTGAACAAAATTGTCAACTGAAGTTCCCAGCCAGGAAATGCTCTTCATTGAATATTGTGTCTCATTTCTGGCGATATGACTAAATCAGATTCAGTTATGTTATGTTGCGAAATACTGGCAATGACAGCGAGAAACTGTCGCAAAGAAGCATTTCAGTTAGATTCTTGGAAGACATACAATTTCTCCCAGACGCGCCAAAGGTCCCCCTCTAGGATAGTGCCATCCAGACTCAAATATACTATAACGTACGATCGCTCGTAAACGAAGTTTATTATTATTTCTGGAAGTAGGTTGAAAAAGGTGGTAGTGCGGAGGGAAGGGGGTCGTAGTCGTAATCACCTTTGCTATACGGTGGGACTTTTCTGTTGCCATTCGAGGTGGTAGTTACTAGTGTGGTGGCAAAAGTAATAAACAACGCGATGTTAACGTCCGTGCAACTTTACCTTTTCATCTATAATATTTTGCAAAGCTGCGGGTAAGTTTTTCTACAAAATTTGCACACCTGTCATGTTTTTTCTTACCAACGCTACAGTTATGTTTTGAGAAAAAGAATTAGCATAGCATAAGAAAATTTTGGATTGACAGCATGCAATGGCTTTTTTTCTTTAATTTTAAATGGAAATAACATACTTCCGAAAGAGAAATAAGGATCTATATAACCACTGAAATTCGAATAAAAGATTGATGATTAGGGGAGAAATCACTATGATTTGTTGTCGTAGACAAGAACGGAAAACTTATGGGGGATGGGAAATTGCTGAGAGTAAGAGAAAATAGCATGATCAGGAAGATGATGCCAGGGATTGATAAGAAAATGATATAGCGAGCGAAGTTACATTTTATGGCGTTCCTTCTTCGGAAATTCAAAGTCTAGGTAACTGTTCAGTTTTTGTTTTTCATAACCATCAGTTCTACGCAGTATTTCCCAAAGTATTTCCCATTTTTTGAATCCGTACAGAAGAAGGAGAAAAGGTTTGTTTTAGTTTGATCATTAGAGGCAACTATTTGTAGGTAGTAAGTCTTCACTTCTCCCGTTTTTTTGAATGTTTCAGTTTTGTGAACTTTCTATACTTCTGTTCCCCTAGGTGGAGCGTAATTTTATGGAATACTCTATGTGGTTTATTACGGAATGAAAGCTATCAGCAACTATATGAGTCGTGTGAGCTACAACTGCAGATTTTCCAAACAGCTGCAGTACTTGAGGTTTGCTTATGACAAGTTAGTCTTCAGTGACAAGCTTCCATTTTTGATTATAAAGGACTGTGGAACGGAAAGGTTTTTATACATATTAATTAAGAATATTATGGTTTTGAAACTTATGCAGAAATGTGTATAGTTCAGACTTTTTGGCATTCGAAAAGCCATATTTTGGCGAGTAACTTAAATCTATAATTCCATATATGTATGACTTCCCTAGTTTTTAAACTCCATGTTTATCTTTAGCACCTGTAATATGTTCTCCAAAAACATAGCATACTTTCGACTAACTAAAGTAAAAGAAATAACGTTGTTGTGCAACAAGGAGTTATAATTTTGCAGCTGAATACCTTTAGATTTTCCAATATATTGGTGCAACAAATTATAGAAAACTAATTTGTAAATTAGTACAAAATCGATGAGCAAATAATACCAGATAATTTTATTCAGATTGTTCATGCTGCTGCTTGTTTTGTTCGATCACCCGTCGGAACCACATCAATGCAAGTATTCTCACGTGTTTCGCTTGTGTTTATCTTATACAAGGTTATATCGGTAAGAGTTAAAATTTTTCTGCTTCCACTTATTTTTCAAAAGTTTAAAGACAGCTATTGTTTACATTTTGAATGCCAGGGTCTATTAAAAATTAACATTTAATTTAGACAAGCTTAAAATGTTTTTTGTTTTTGTTTCCATACTTCAACTGAACTAGTCCAAAAATACCGCACTATGGAAGCAAAAAATTTTAAGGGTTTGCAACCTAAATGAGACTTTTACTGAATTTCTTAGCTTTCTCAGTTATACCTTTTATTAAATGAAATCTTAAAGAGTTTCGAGCATTTTTATGTATTTAATTTAGCGAGTTATATATGCTTTCAAGCTTTTACTCATTTTCAGGCACAAAGAAGTACTGGTGTGCTGTTTATGTTGGTAGCATGGTCGGTGACCGAAGTAGTACGATACAGCTACTATGGACTCGCTTTAATTAATGCTGTATCAAACTTTCATACATGGCTAAGGCAAGTCCTGTTATACTATGTGACATTAGATTCAAGCTGCAATTTTAGTGTCAGTTGATCGACTTCTTTTACCTTTGCATTTTTCGTTTTTCATTTTTTCGATTTGTGTGAGAAATCTATTGAATGCAAGCGCATTATGTGTGAACAAAATTTGTGTACAATCTAGACATACGTGGAAAAAGTTCGTAACCCTATTTGATGTTTACAGATACTCTCTTTTTATTGTATTGTATCCTCTGGGTGTAATTGGTGAGCTTCTGATAGTCCTGGCTGCTCTTCCTGAGGTTTGTACTCTTTTTCTTACTATTACATGTATTTAGTGAGTTCTGGAAAGATATTAAGGCTCAATAATGTTACTTAAGTATAAACGATTTCCATATATTGATTTGTTTTCATTTAATTCAGCAATGATATGTTATAGGTCAGTGCAAAAAAGCATCTCACTGTGGAATTGCCAAATATATTTAATATTGGCTTCTCTTTCTGGTGGTATCTTATCATCTATATTATTTTATATATACCAGGTATGACCATTCATTGGATTTAAAGTTCTTCAGTTTTTAATTAAATTTTTCTTATTCGAAATATGCTATGAGCCATAATCACAGTATCACTGCTTACCTACTTCTTGTATCGTATTTTCTGCGATTGGATTCTTTACGTTATTTCAGAGCTGCATAAGCAAATATGAAAAGGGCATATATTTGTGAGAAATGCAACGACTATAGGGACTGCTCTAGTCCTTTTTCTTGTATCATATTTAGAAGGATAATTTTATTTTGTCAAATAATTGGTTTTACCAAGTTGATTATCTGGGTTTTATAAATTTAAAATTTGTGTCTACTGAATTAGTCTGAGAAATTAGTCTACGAATTCTTAGTGAAATTTGTACTTGCAAATATGGGTTCATTATTGTTTTATGTAGGGTTAACTTTGTGTTTGCATCATTTCAGTCAAAATTATTCGGTGTAAACATTAGTTTACTTGAATTAGATAGCTCTCACTGGCTTTTGATAGAATACGAAATTAATAATTAATTTTTCAGGGTTTCCACAAATGTACATGTATATGTTTAAACAGCGAAAAAAGGTCCTTTCAGTGGAAGTTAGCAAAAAGTGCAGTTAACTATCTTGTCAGTTCTTGTGTTTTTTTGCATGGAAACCGCTGAATGATCTGTGAATGATGTATCAGTCTACTACGACTCACCCTTGTTATCACTTCAGTTTTTTCATGTACTTTGTGTAATTTTGATACAGTCCTTGAATAACATTGTTTCTTGTTTTGGCTCCTGTTCTGTATTGCAGTATTCTATAATGACGTTCCAAAAGCTTTAAAAGTCCAGTATGTCTCTGTCTCAAAATATACCGGAAATTACAAACTCAATAGCAGATTCATCGCTGAAAAGTGAAATCTTTGAAAGGAATTGAAAAGTAGCACTAATTTGATATTTCACCATTTTCATATGAGAGCTGATGTTGTTTTGTTTGAAGCACATCTCGTTAAATTTGAAACTTGACCAAGTTCCAAATTCAAGTGTAACGAACTCTGTCAGCACTTCTATTGAAATTAGGAATTTTAAAAGTGGGGTTTATGATGGCACTGTTGGTTCTTTGCTGTTGTCAGTGATTAATACACTATTACTAATAGTACAGGAAAGTAAAAGGTGAGCTGTAGGTGAAGCAATTACTTTCGTAAATAATTTGTAAAGAGTTTTGATGGTATTACGGAGAACATTGCCTCAAATATGGGTTCTGTTGCAAAAAACCGGTCCCCATTGTAAATTCACCTTCATAATCTTGTTCTTGGAAGTTGAACATTGGTCAAAGTGCAGTGTTTGTCTCATGTTCTTCACGGGATATATCATTGCTCCAAACGTCGCAAAATTTAGGTTCAGTGGAATGGTATTAACAAAACCTAAATCATCATTTGGAAACGATTCGAAGAAAGTGGCGTTGATAGATTTGTTGACAGAAAATAAGTTGAAAGATCGGATCAGTTCAAAACACTGGTTGGCGAGTAGACAGTCAATTTCGCAAGGCTTGCTATCAAATCTATTATAATTTGCCGATCATTTAAATCTGTTTCTCGACTTTTCTTCTTTTTCTGTGGTTAAATTTCTCATCGGGACATTCTACAAATGTTCATGAAAATTCAGTTTTGAAACAGCTACGGTTGGCTAACTTCTTCAATGTCTTCACTGTTGTGAAGAAGTACTGCTGTTGTACTGGTCAAAAGTGCAGTTTTTAACTTTGTGGAAATCATATTAATCTGTCGATATTCATGGCCACTGGAAGTTGAGGCATCATTACATCATGGGGTGGACCTGAGAGTTGTTCTCTGGATTAAATTTTGAGAAATTTAATTAGAACTGATTTAAAAGGATTTAATTAAGCTGAGTTGAATCAGTTTGAATCACTTCGGAGTAAATTGGGCTAAAATATTATTGTAATAATGTTGTAGAAATTACAGTAAGGTTACAATCAAATTAAACTGATAAAAGGTTTGTTAGATTGGGATGGACATTGCTGCATTGAAAATTAAGCAATAAGTTCATGTAGTCACGGGAAAGCGTCATTTTTAAAATATTTTTGTAAAATAAAGTGCAACTTAGAAATGGATTAAAATCGTCAAATTCATCGTTCATTTTTCCTGTCATAATTCATTGGATCAATCAATTAATCAGTCAGTGTAGTCATATATGTCATCAATTTTAGGTTGGTTTTTTTCGTTATATATAAAAAAAACCTGTCCCAGCTTCCTTCCCACTTTCATCCTGATGAGTCTCTTACAGTTCGTTTTCGCACGGAAAAAAAAATTAAATTTCTGTTAGGAAGCCGTTGTTAAATATAAATATGATCAAAAGTTTATTAGAAGAAATTCAATTTCTGGATGTCCTATCAGTTATTTACTTCCTGCTTACAATTTACTTAGCACCATCTACATAGATTGGATCATTAATATTTCCAAGTCTTCATAAAAGGTACTTGTTCGAATATGTGATAAAGTACAATATATTGCCTTAAAGATTCACAATTTCATTTCGTTGCATATATAAGTGAATAATTTGGCTCCATTTTGAAAGTAAAGTGTATGTTGAAGTGCAGTGAAACTCGACTACTTACTGTTGAAGTGCAGTGAAATTCGATTATTCATAAATTAGTCGTAAGAATGATTCATATTTACCTGTTGCCATCTTATATTTAAATGTATCCGTCCTATCTTCTACTTCCAAATGACCAGCATATAACGACAGGAATTTTGTTAAATCTCCCTTAAATTCAAATCATTTCATCCCTTATCCTTTCAGAGAAAACAAGGAAATTGTACATGATGTCCAACCAATATGATATGAATAGCACCTTGGATATGAAAAGTATCTACCAAGAGGACATCGCTGAGTTTAGAAAACATGTAGAACCGCTTTTAAAGAAATACCCACGCTATGATACGGATTATGCTTTATTACGTTGGCTTAGAGGATGCAAATTTGATAAAGGTGACATTGCTGAAATCGTTTGTTTTATTTTGCAATACTTCAAAATCTTCAGAAAAAATCTGGAAAAAAAAGAAAAAAAAAAAGACTTCAGAAAAAAAAATGATTTACCAAATCTCTTCGAAGGTTTTTTTTCTTTTTTTTTTGATGACAATGCTATGAATTATTCTTAATCTGTAGCTTAGCTCTGCTATCTTTTTCTGCTCCAGAAATGGCCGCACAAAAAATGGAATGGTCTTTAAATACAATGAATGCAGTTGGAGCATTTGATAAAGATTTTAGTTCAGTTGAGAAAATTGAAGCAATTTTAAGAGCGGCATCGCCTTTGACTGAATATTTTCCAGGTATTCAGATTGGTATTTTTAATGACTGATATGTAAAATCTTGCAATGGCACAGATAGGATGGAAGCAAAACTTTCGCTTTGTTAAGGGATGAAGCCTCTATCAAAGTCCCTTCACAAGTAACATCGGCAACCGTGCGCTTTTTTGTTACAGGTGGTACTATTGGATATGATAAAAATGGGTATGTGATAATTATACATAATATTGGTAAAGCGCATCCACGTAGTCTAGTCGGTGCTGAACGAGTGTCCCAATTTTATGTCAACGCCATATACGATTACGAAGGGACACAATGTCTTGTAAGGTACGTTTGAAATTTGTTTTTGTGGTATTCGGTTTTACAAAATCGATCAAAATTTGAGCAAGATACGACACACTGAGAAATGAACTCATCGTTGAAGGCGTCTGCAATTAATGAATGTGCTTAAAGTACAGTTAGGTTTCGTTGACAGGAAACTTGTTAGCTGGTACCGGTAATATTGACAATGGTCCACAGATTATCATGTAAAAATGTAAAAAAAAAACGAAAATCGATTGAACACGAAAGTCAAACCATTTAACAATTTGCGTTGCTATACATAGATCAGAGGAAGCGAAACGTGGATGTAAATTGGGTACAGTGGTAATCGTTGATTTGAATGATTTCTCAAATGACATCATCTTCCACTTGCCAGCTACAAAGATATATATCTCAACAATTGTGATGCTGCAGGTTTGCGCTTATCATTTATCATTGATGACGCGCTGCACGAGCAGTTAGAGTATGCTTCATTTAATGATTTCCATTTTCGAGAAATCCTTTAATAACTAAGGCCTAAGAAATTAGTAACTTATCTAAGGCTTTGTTAAAATGAACCTTAGTGTCGTGATTCTCAACCAAGTTCAAATTAGAAAGAGTTGAGATAAAATGATGGCTAATGAGACTTGATAGCATAATTTTATCCTTTCCTCTGGATAATTTCTTAATTCTACGTTAGTCAAATCTTACAACTCTCTTACTTGCATAGTGAATGAATGAATGAATGTTTCCGTCACAGAAGGTAGCACCAAAGTGATAATTTCATCAATGATTACAGGACATGTTTCCGGATGTAATGGTAAAAATATACATCATGAATGCTCCCATAGCTGTGCAATTTCTTTTGCAAATGGTTTTAATGAACATTGCTAAAGTAAGAAAAAGAAATTTATAAAGTTTAAATTGATGAAAAGATTACAATTCCCTTAAAAATGCAAACAGTTTCCTTCGAGGAAGAAAACCAAAATGTGGTATGAATGGATTGACGTGAGAAGTAGCTGGATGATACTGCATTATGTTCTGCCACAGAAATACCTGAGCGGGAAAAGAATTTGTAATTTATTAATCTGGTCATTTGAAGGAAACGACGGATTTGCTTGAATTCCTGGGTAGTGATTGGAAAGAAGTTTTGGTAGATAGGCATGGAGCAAAATTTCTACCAAAAAAGTATGGTGGCTTGTTGGATGATGATATTTTTCGAAAAGGAGGCGAAGTTCCGCATTCTGTGTGCGTCTTTAAAATTTTCTCATCGATAAATTTCAAGATTAAATTGTATCTCTTAAAAGTAAATTGTAAATTAATTTCAGTTTAGAAATGAAAGGAAATTTTCAAATCTCGTTTTTTATCATTTTCAGCTTTTTCTTTGCAAGATTTTCATGCACATCTCCATTTAAGAGCAGAAGTGAACAGGAAGTATGTGGCAGACGAAAAGCTCAAGAAGATTACCGTAAACGCTAGGAATGAAGCAGTAGTAAGCATCAGTGTGGAGAAGCCCAATTCAAGACTTTCCTGGTATTTTATTTGTTCATCGGGTGATATCGATTTCTGCGTATTGTTCGAGAAACAAGAGGTATGAACATGCTTTGGTCTGGTCTGTTTTCGGATCATTAGTTGATTTGATCAATTGATTTAATGTATCTATCTCGTTTTTTAGAATTCACTGTTACATCGCCAATAACTTGGCTTAGATATTTCGTGAAAGTGTGAGAAAAACACTTTGGATAATGAAAAACCGAAGAGCAACATGTCTCTCGGAATTTCCCTAAATGACCGGAAAACACAATTCCGTGTAACTAAGGACAGATGATTACAATATCATGCATCATCAGCATAGACAAGTTTGAAACAGGACTTGCAATGAAGTTAATTACCTTGTGTGAGTTTCAACACGTCGCACTGATGTCCAAGCAATCCTACGACTCTGTTGAACATTCAGTCCTTCCTTTCATTTTTTTAAAGGTCTGGCCACGTTTCCGAATTTACACTGAATTCACAGCAGAATACAATGAAATTGAGTGCAAAGAAGTTGGTATATATCAATTACTGTTTTCCAACAAACGTGGACGTATATGGAGCAAATGTATTCAGTATTACGTTGACGTCAAACTGCCTGCGGCCCAAATTGAAAATTTAGCTTGCTAACAACATGAAAGTTGCAATATGACTAAATGTGTGATATTAATTTTTCAATTTTATGGGAATTTCACCTGATTATAGTGAGCTAACTACCTTGTAATGTTAAACAGTATCGATGGAAAGCAAAATGAGCACAAATCATGTCCAATAGAGATGCGAAGATCGTTCAGATTAGTGTTGAAAGGTAAGAGATATACGCTCATCTATCTGTAGACACAATTAACACGCATTTTTACTTAACAGTGAAGCTATCCTAGTAAATGGAACAGAAATTTGGATCAAAATGTTGTTATAATGAGATGCATATTGTGTATTTATGAAAAAAATGGCACTCTTTGTCCTCGAGAGTAACCAGTCGTTCAGATTCATGAAGTTTAAAAACCAATACTACCTGAATATTGGACAGTCAAAGAATGCCGCAAAGGTAACTCTTCTGTAGAACGTATTCCCAACTAAAATCAATCAAATTTAGAAAGTCGCAATCCAGTAGCAGTAGAAGTATTATATTAGAGCTCTAAGAAATTCTATTAGCTTTGAAATTTGCAATTAACAAAGCTTTATTAGAATGTGACTAATAGTAATACATTAGATGTTTGTACACAAATTTTAAAGTCATGCGCTTTTTTTTGAAATATTTTCAAAGTCAAGTCCAGAGATTCTCTTAGTCCCTTCACAAATTTAAAAAATGTAATCGATTTGAATTTTTGCCACTTCGCAAGAAAATCATCTCAGAATCCGCTTCAACACATCATTATTACATTCTTTCACTCGTATTGTAGTTACTTACTGACTTCTATTGTGGACAAAGACATATTGAAGTCCTGAAGCGCATGGCCTATTTATTCCAAACAACAGTTGCGATACTCTTCGGTTCTAGTTCTATGCGAAGGGCTATACCATTTTTAGTTCTCTCTTCGACCGAAAATGTCACTGATTTATTGTCACGATTCAAAAGTACCAAAATCCGTTGCTGTGCTGGAGTAATGAATGCAACTCCTTCATATGAAACCGGCTTCACGTAAAAATGCAGTTCAATTCGGACTGAACCCGGCGGAATGAATTTACTGAAATTTCCGACTATAATTTAAGAATGTAGGAAATGGAACTTGACTTCCGCAATCATTTCAGTGTTCTTGAGCAGTTCTTGCCAATCGGAAAATTGAACAGGGAGCCGTGCCAGAAACTTAGCTTTTTTTTGTAAAGTAAAAAGAGACATGGTATTCATTTAAAAAAAAAGCTTGACTAGCATCTTTTAAATGACTATCATGATAGCTCAAATAAAATAATTCGTCTTTCGCATATTTCTCTTTTGCTATAAGTTTAAAAGTTTTTCCGTTTTAGATTCCCAATTTATTTAATTTAGCTGCGTATGCTAAAAAGTAGAGCAAATACTTTGAATGGCAGTGGTGCTATTAGCACCGCACTGTACTGGATGATTTGGTAGTATGACAATTAAAATTAATTCAAGTTTTAGAGTTAGGAGGATGTTACCTGAAATGTCCCATAACATAAAACATAGGTTGTTTGTAAAATTCATCAGCAGTTGCATTTACTATTATTGGTGCATCTACATAATTCTTGACAAAGCTTGGTCCACCCCTCAAATCAAGACAGAGATTCCAATCAGTCCATCCAGACACCCAATGAGAAAGATCCTGAAATTCCTTGGATCAAGGAAAGTTTGGTTTACTACAAGCATTTCCTTTCTGCGAAGTTACCTAACTTTGTCAACTTTTCGTACTTTTTTTGCAGCACTATGTGCTTCTATCTAAAAACCTGCCCAACATTTTTTTAGAATAAAAAATCTAAACGGTCAGAAATCATAGGTCTTCTTCGATCACGCTGGTATTGATTTCATTGTAAAAGTCAACTAAAAATTCATAGCAATAGAAGAAAAGTTTCAAAGGCAGAATTCTTAAGCATTAAAACGGAAATCTCACTGGGACACTTTAAACGTACAGAGGATATAGTGACAAGACAGATACAACAATTATTGCTTTTACAGGGAAATTTTAAAATTATATCAAGAAATTTTGCGAAAAGAAGAATGATACCTGAATAATATCATGAGCATACATATCGCCGCGCGACCAATCTCCCAGAATCGGCCTGTGTTCAAACGGTTTGAATCCAGTACATGCCTGAATAGAATTTCTCTTCAGTCTTTCATTGTGGCCAGTAAATTCCATTATATTTATGTGGTATGATAATCTAAACGATATTCACTGTATAATGAACAATATCTACTTTTGGAAGTTTTACGACAAATTTCCGAATAAAACCAGCCTCAGTTCCGAAGATGAATTTATTTGGATGACGATTGTGTGTTTCAGAAAGCTGTGACACTGGCACGAAATCGCTATACCAATGCACTGCTATGCCAGATACGTACTGAGCAGCCTCTTTGTCTTTAAGGACCTTAAATAATTGTACTTTTCCATCTAAACTACAAACAAATCTTACTTTTTAAAACAGGATTTTCGACATTATTCAACTTAGCATTCAAACAAATGATATGAGATCTAGAGAGAATCCATACTTAACGATAATTTAATCAAAAAATCCTTAATTAACTGCTAAGTCTGTGATATCATTGAATGAGCGCATAAGCTATATTATAAATAAGTACCACATCAGCCCAAATCGGTAGCTGTGTTCTTTGATCATCCATTATCATTAATGATATATTCCGACTCACTTCATTTCTCCGTAAAACTGGACCAAGATGATGTTTTATAAAATCGCTGGAAACGATATCGTTAAAAAATCATAGTGTGTCAACTGCAAAAAATAAATGCTCATAAAGTACATCATCATCTATCAACCCTCAATCATCCATCAATGAAATGGCTTCAGTTAGGTAGGCCACTTTGTTCATTTCGTTTTAATTTTGAGGCTAACTATAGAAACAAAAGATATATAAACATGCCGTTCAGTTTTGGGACTAAAATACATTGTTTGCCACTTGTATGACAGATCAACGCCGGATACCGGCTCGTTTTGAACAGTAAGTCCCCAAAATGTCACACCATTGTTTTTGTATGCCTCAAGAAATCTGAAACAAAATGAAAACAGATTCGCTCATGATTTATCGAGTTCACAGCGGAAATCACTAGCAAAGGATGATCAGAATTTGATGCTTACTTCACATAGTGGTTAGCCCACGCCACATGATATGGCCCATTAGGAGGTCCACGTAGTGCTCCACCACCAATCATTAGCCCACTAGTTTTCATCCATCCTGGTGCTGACCATGGGGAAGCGAATAATTTGAGTATACCACCTGTTAAGTTTACTGCCTGCTTGATATAAGGAATCTGAACTGAAAATTTGCATCGAAGGTGGAAAACCATCACTTTCCACCAAAAAAAAACTGAGAAATTTCAAGGAGTTATTGGAAAACATTATTTCGAATATATATGAACCGTAGCTGATCTACAGTGATAATATATATAAACCGTAGCTACTAATTTGCACTGACAAGAGCACCCTACCTTGAACTTGAAATCCTCTTCAGCCAATGAGAAATTGCTGAGAGTAAAATCATTCGGTGAGTCATCATATGAATATGGATGAGTTGAGAAATCAGTACTTGCAATCGGCACTCTGCCAATCGTATATTTTATACCTTAAAATGTGTATTTCTTTTCGGTGCAGTAAAAAAAGCAGGCGAACCATCCCGGAGGTTATATGAATTTCTTTATTAATACTTGTGCTATAGTTGTGCCAATGAATATTTAGAGCTTGAAACTTGTTAAACTACCTGTATTTCCAAAATAGGACTGCAACAGATTAGTTCGAGTTGGTTCACTCAGCGAGGCGATATTGATACCAGCCGCGTCAGTGAATGCTCCGCCAAATCCAATTATTGTTTGGAACCGTATTTTACTATCAATTTTTAAGCGAATCAATTCCCCAGCTCCTACAAGTTGTTTCTTGGATTTCACAACCTATCAATCAAAAGGTAAAAACAAATCGATAAAGTGCTTTAAACCTGTCCGTGAAATTCACTGAAACAAAAAAGAGATGAAATAAGTATTCATAACTTTACAACGTGCCAGTTCAGTTACCCATATGAACCTATTTAAAAGGTGCCATTTGCAAGGAAAAAAAGAAGGTTAGTTCTAAAAATAAATATTGGTATTGTAAGGAAAGTATTTGTTTTGTATGACTAATTCTAGCCAATACTGCAATTTCTGTCCTGAAAAATTAGCAACATAATTCTTGAAATATAGTGTAGTAAGAAATTTCATTCAGAGTCAAACACAATATGAGTGCAATAGCAGTATTCCAGTTACCCGGAATAGTAAGTATGACCATTTGGTACTTTAAATACTGGACTTTACTCTGAATCAAAAAGAATTTTAATTCAACTGTACTGAATTTACGTCTGCACTCAGACGTTATCAATATTATGTGAATGTAATTCACCGATGTCTTTTAAATTTAACACATTTTAGTTCTGTATTTGGATACGATGACCATAGGAACACAATATGAATACAATAGCAGTAATACGATGACTATAGGCTGAAGGACTCTCCAATAGAGACAATAACTGAATTTATAGCTCAAAAATAAATAAATGAAGTTGAGGATACAAGTTAGCAAGTATAATACTCCATTTTCACTTTACGTTCAAGAATATAGCAATGTATTTTTACCCATCACCCCTAGGACGGTTCCCTGCAATTAAGAATTCGTCGCCTTCTTATAGGACTCGAAAACATTCGAACTTTTATACATGCGAGGCAATCAGAGAATTGAAACATTTCGAAGAGCGACTGCTTTAGATTTATTTATTTTCAAAATGAAAGAGGGTGGGGCAAAGTAAAAACGAACAAACAGGGCTCTTCTATGTATTTTTTAATGGAAATATTACCATTTGCCTTTTCCATGAACGAAGAGACAGTACGTACGAAACGCTTCCCACGTTGGTTCGTTTTATAGATAGCTGCCTGCAACGGCTGTAAGATGCCCACTTCTGGTACATCATCACAGTATGTCGCATTGCACACACAAACTATATCTTCCCTCTTTTCATAATATCGATGTTGGCATTTTCGGACTTCTTTGTCTGAAATGGGAACAACTGCGCCGATTGCAAAAGTACCAGCACAAGATTATTCTTTCGACAGAAGAATGATCATAACTGACTCTGAGCACTTCCTGTGAAATCAGCGGGTATCATTTACTGGTAAATGTAATTTATGTTAAACAAAAAAAGTCTTTTAACTTGTTGCAGTTTGATGACTACACTACCTTACCTCTTGTCGGAGTAGAATGAATAAACAAATGAAAACATATCGATACAAGCATGAAACAATAGATCACAACATATCCAAGTGCAAAATGAACCTTAGCACCTAGACGTTTTCTCCAAACTTAGTTCACAACCTGATAAAGAAAGTCCAAATATTTCGATGTCAAACTGGAAGCCACTAAAAACCGTTTTTATATCCTTATATTTTACTTCTATCAATGGCGATTAATGCTGATAGCTAATTAATGGCATAAGTTACTTACCTGAGCACAAAAGCGTTCTACAGAAAAACAGAAGAAATAAATAAAGGACGGAAAGTGAAGAGCTTCGAGAATTACAGATGAATATTATATCCATTGGACGAGGAACCAGACCTGAAAGTGAACTTCAAGGGATCCACTGCACTGCCTGCGACACAGGATCAGTTGCTGCACATTATCGAATGTGCCACGTCATCAACCCTACTCTCATAGCAACAACTGTATTCATTTTCTTTTACTCATTGAACAGTTTCCAGTTAATGAAGACAAACCCTCGAACACATGGAAATGGGCCGTCCACTACTTTGACCATACATATGTTTCATCGTATCACATCCTTTCACTTCCCTCCTCTATCCAATCCCTCTCTTTATGTCTTAGAATTTCTACTTTCTTTAAGGAAAGCTTTGTTTAACGAAAGGAAGTTAAAAGTAAAGAAAGATGAGTCATTTAAATAACCAAAAAGATTGATTATTGAAGAATGATTGTTTGTCTCAACTTCCAATTCAAGTTCTAATTTTCCTGAAGATTAAAACTATCCTGAAGTCTCGATAGAAATTCTGAAGAATCTTCAAATTACAAAATATGGCAAGAAGCATCTAAATTCGCATGTCCAAACAAACATACTTTTAAGATCGCTGTAAGAGGAAAATTCAGCTCAAGGTTTGGGCTTTTTTTTTTTCTGGACTTTGAAGTCTTGTTTTCACTTCCCAAAAATTTCTAATGTTGTTCATTCCTACCTGTTATCTCTGTGCTTTTGACCTTTCTCTCCTGTTTCTTGATGTCACGTATTCACTTCCACCTTCATGTTAGATTATAGAATTGGACAAGTTATTCAATTTAGTAATTAGATATGCCTTTCTAGACGGATTTAATCTTGGACTTTTGAAATTCTGGCAAGGTGTCTTTTTTGCTGATAGATTAAAAAGAAACTGAGTTTGACATGTCTCCATGTTGAAATGGCAGAGGGATACGTTGAACAGGTAAGTTCCGTGTTCTTGTTCGATGGAACAAATGGAGTTACCTATTCCTCGTATTTCGAGCGAAACCCACCACCGAGTTAACTGCCATCACTAGCAGCATTCATTCCCGACATAGCCAGAAACGGTGCTTCGATATTCTTCTGTAAACACTGCGCTTTCCGGAAAGACGAAAGATCGCTATCACTGGTAGGAAGTGGAAGTTAGAGAAAGACAAGGGACGATGCTGCAGAAGAGATATAAGAGATCGATAAGGACGAATGGAAAATAGTAATGAGTGTAGTTGCAGTGAAGAGTGAAAGAAGTTAGTACTAGAATGGAGACAGAGTCTTTTCCGGCAATACTGGGGTAAGGACGGAGTACAAGGGAGTGATCGAAGTTGTTTGATCTTTTCTGTCACTTCTACTTCAACTTTATGATTAACTTTTTGAATCGCTGAATTTTTAATTTAATTTTTGTAATTTCAGTTAAAGTTTCCATAGTGAGTTGCCTATTTTTTCGCTTGAAGTTTTCATTTTGATTGGATCCTGGAGATTCTTCCTCGAATTTAAACTACTCAAAACTTGGTTTTCTTTTTTTTTTGGAAGATTCTTTGTTTTTTATCTATGTGTCAGTATTTCCATCCCTAGTACTATTTCTTCTTTGAGTTTTATCAAATAATTTGCAAATTTCAGAGATTGAATGTGTCAGGACGAAAAAGCTTCCATCGCTGACTTACCGTTGTTTTGTGAAAAAGAATCAGGTGATGTCGAACAATTTCGGAAACGTATGGCACCGATCTTAGATAAATATCCATCTTACGATACGATATATACATTGGATCGATGGCTTCGTTCATATAATAATGATATAGGTTGCCATTTATTGTTTAACTAATTGTTCGACAGCTTCCAGTTTTTGTGTCTCTTGATTCTGCACTCGAATTTGTTTGTATGTAGCAGACATAAATGCAAAAGATTTTAGGTTTAACTGGATGCGTGAAGGTAGATGACAGTTAGCAGATAAGTAGAAATTTAAACTATTTCCATCTTTTTTTAGAATTTGATGCACAAATGCTTCCAGTTAAGCGAATTAATATTTTCAGAAGAAGCAGTTAAACGAATGACACGAGCGTTGAAAAATCTCTATGCTCTCGATGCATGCAAAGATTACGATAGTGTCGAATCATTAAATGATTTTTTGCATACGATAAGTCGAGCTGCTGAATATTTTCCAGGTTAGTATGATCTGCATGAGATAAGACATGAATAGGAAACGAATTCACTTCAATTTTCATGCGAACTATCGTAATGGTATTTCAGTAGGCCTTTAACTTTTTTGTATAAATCCAAATATGCTGAAAAATCCAAATATGTTACAACGCCAATCTTTATTCTTAAAGAATATTTGTTATTCGTTGTATTGCATTTGATAGACAATTTTTTGTTGGTTCAGTGGGCTACATTTATAGGTTTTATAGGTTGCTTCATTACGCTCAAGTATTATGAAAAGTGAAATTATAAACAATGCGTTTTCAGGGGGCATTATGGGTCCTGACAAGCACGGAAATATTATTCTCGTTCAACCGATGGGTCGTGCTCGACCGAAGACAATGATGCGTTTGGGACGTGTGTCCGATCTTTATAAGGCAGCAATTTTGGAGGCTGAAGCTTGCATGTATTTTTTGAGGTTTGATTTTCATTATTCATTCAGTGTTCGTCAAACTATCTTTCAGAAAAATGAAAAGAATAAAATTAATGGAGCTAAAGAATGGCACATATTTGCTAACATAGGACTATTATAATGATCCCATTTAATGGAGGTAATGACCTTTTTTTGATATCAAATTGATAAAATATCTAATGCAGTTTATTATAGACTTTGACTTCAGAAAAGAGGAAGCTGTTAGAGGACGCCAGCTTGGTATTATTTTCATTTCGGATCTTGCTGAATTATCTCTGGAAACAATTTACATGCCTGCTGTGAAAGCATATATGAATGTTTTGGATGTACTACAGGTTTTTTTAATATCTTGGTTAATAAGAACTTGCAGTTTTTTCTGTTTGATTGACAAATCAGGTTATGAAACCAAGTGTCCTTACATCTCGGCAATTAATTAAATTACTTTTCTGCTGATGTAAACTGAGAACAGAATTGGAAAAGCATCATCGGTTTTAACCACTATTTATTAGGAGTTTTACAGTTTGAGATTCTGCTTTATTTAAATTTTAACTGCGATATATTTTCAAAAATTTTCCAAGTTATCTTTGATATCTGTTGGACGGATAAGGTGCTCAGCAGAACTCATGCACATTCTGTTAAAAATAGTTGCCAATGATTTCTTCGTTTACCTTATATCCTTTGTATAGTATTCCGCATGAAGTTTTTATGCATGAAAACATTTCGTCATTCTAGTGTTTATTCCCGAACTCGATCAAAAAGGTGTATGTGATCAATTCTCCCTCCATGATCAGTGTTCTTTTCAATATGGTAAAACAAGTACTTTCCAAAGTAAGATAAATTAAACTGGGACAAGAATTTTAGAAACATTTTAGAACCAAAACATAAATTGATGAAAATAAGTACCACATTCAAACTGAAGTGATCGGAAAACAGACTGAATCAAATATTACCACTTTAGTGTTGCAGAACATTTATGATCTCTGTCTTCTAGTCTGATATTATTACTTCCTCATTGCCTGCTCATTATAGATTTTTGAAAGATTATCGTTTCACAGATTAGAGATATTAATAATCTTTTTTCAGAGAATGATTGAAAGTATCGAATTTATTGGCAATGATTGGCAGCAACGGCTAAAGGATGAGCTAGGTGAGGAAAATATTTTCAGACATTGGGGTGGTACGAAGGAAGCTGTAAAAGAAACGGGTACAATACGCATGGGTGGCGAAGTACCTGCTAGTGTGAGGTTATTTTATTTTTCATTTTATCTTTAGTAAATAGTAAACTTTTGTCGTTATGGATTTTGACGATGTTTTCGCATCAAAATTGCAGTTCTTCAAACTGTTAGTGTTAATTCTGTGGTTTCTTCAGAGATGAGAGAATAAATTTCAAAACGATCGACATTTGTTAAAAAATGACTTTTTAAAACTTGTACCTGTTCAGGCAGTAGGCTTTTAAGTGAACTGCTTTGACACTAGTATCGTGAAATCTTTCAAGGACGTACGAACATGAACGGATTCGGTTCGCTCTAGTGACGAGAATTCCACTATTTCCGGGATTTCATTTGCAGGGACGAGATTTTAAGAACACTGAAGTTCATTCCCGATGACCAATTAACAAAAACAACAGTTCCAGCTAGTGGGACGCTAGAGATTCCAGTTCATGTTCTGCAGTCAAATTCATCACTGCAGTGGTATTTTACTGTGAATGCTGGAGAAATTGACTTCAAAATCACGTTTGGTAAGGAGGAAGAGGTATGGTTTGTTGTAAATTCTGTAAGATTTACTGCTTTTCTTCTTATTTTTAAAAGTTTATTTTCTACATAATTTATTTTTACATTCCGAATTCATAATTAAAAAGGCAAAGGTATTTCTCTGAACTAAATTTCTATTTCTTTATTGCGTGTTGTCCTTCGGCCTATGGTAAATCGTCATCCATCAATGAAAAAGTGAAAGTCGATACAACCAAAAATTAAAAGAAAATGTTTTTTCTTTTTTTTGAAAATTATGTAAAACTCCGAAGTTGATTAAGAATTTGTTAATTTCCCAGATCTGGCCGCATTTTCGTCTGTCAACCGAATTTGTCCCGGAATATGGTGAATTGCTGTGCCATCAGAAAGGGACTTATATTCTTCATTTCTATAGTCCGGCAAAACTATTTAATAAAATAGTCGCATATAATATTTTGGTGAAGGGCCCGTAAAATCTATTGAAGAAAACTAGTAGTTCAAAGCTGCCACTGTATGGAGCATTGCATTTTATCAGTTGTGATTAGGTCAAAGGCTAAAAAAAGTTAAGTTTTCTGAGATTCATAATTTAATATCCCCTATATTTCATATTAAAAATTAAACTTCTCCCTAGTTTTTGGATTTTTGAAACTTTCCGTAGACAATTGAAATTGTCGGTCTATTCTCGGCCCATCTATAATTCGTACAAATTCACTGCTCGTGTATGTTGGTGTTAGGCTATGCTTGTAGATCATTCATTAAATCATGCATTGTCTTATTGTATTGTTTAGATTTCTCCAGTTTTAATTATTGGTGTTACTTTCTGATAATATATATAAGGAAGTGTTTTACCCTAAGATGGGCTGGGAAGGGTAACGATGAAACTAAATTGAAGCACTTCCGGGTGCATCTCCATAAGCTTTCAACCGGTACAAAAGATAGTGCTTTCCAATATTGTCAACCCAAACCAGGAAAACGTGACTGAATTATCCTGTAGGTGAAATCAAGAACTTGTTTTGTCAATTGATACTTCATTCGGCCGATGATACAAGGTCTTATCGATATGGGCTGTAGAAAAAAAAGTGCAAATGCGACTCCAATAACAAACACCCTTTGAACAAATCAACGTTCGGCCAGATTTCGTGTTATTTCATGTTTGATAGAATTTATAGTGCTATTTCAAGCTTGTAACCTGGTGTAGTCCTGATGAGTAAGGAAGTGGTTAGCCAGAAATTTGGAAATTTTCAAGTGGTTTATCATCCTATTATAAAGATGTGCATACTGATTAAAAGAAGTTAATTATAACTCCGAAACTGAGGAATAATTCATTTGGTGAAGTCGAAGTCGGAAATCTGTTGTACCTTCTTAAAGGACGGAAGAAGTGTGGGCCAATGAGATTTTTATGTCTTTATACATTTTTATAGCATTATAAGGGAAATAGAGTTTTCCAAAGCTTTAGAGAAGCAGATAAGTAACTTTTACTTTTCCACGGTTGTTAACAGTAACTCCACTACCGCGGATCATATTAGTTTCCTGCTAGAGCTGTACCGTACTTCAAATTTCTTTAATAGATTTTTCAACCATGAATATTGCATACAGCCTGAATTCTTTCACATTTTTCATATTTCGAAATTCCAATGGAAAGCCCCTCATCAAGTGTAGATTATATAGAATGATCCTGTAATTTAGTGCAAAATATTATTTTGCTGAAGCTTCCCACCATACTTGGTCTCATCCTTTCTAACGTTTTATGAATTCAATATGGATACACATGTTTACAAATGTTTGATGTTTTTCCTTGATGCTTAAACCTGCTGGTTCTCGCTCCTCGCATGTCTTTTTTTGCTCAGACCTCTGAGACGAAAAAGAATTTAAATTTATTTGGTTATTTTCTTAAATTTATTTGCGTGACAAATAAGTTAAAACGTTTATTAAAACGGCAAATATCACAACTATGATTATTAATGATAATCAATTATCAGAAGATTAATGTAATAGCTTCCTATGGAATCTACCTAATAATTAATCTTCAGTCATCCTATCACTACTATTTTTATCCAGTCCAAAATTTGTTTACTGCAAGCTCTTTTTTCTATTAAATTTCTCTGAATGAAACATTCTTGAACTTGCTTTCAAACTTTTGGGCAAAATTCATCTCGTATATAACAGATTATTTCCATATATCCAAAACTTTTTGCTACATTGAACTCAGCTTTAATTTTTAGAAATTCTGAGGATAGAGAAACTGAAAATAGTTTGTCGCACGAGCAGGAAGCACGTGTCACATGAATACATCAATAGGATGCGAACGATATTGAACCGGAATGAAGAAGTTCGTAATGTATAGTGGAAAAAAAGATTGGAATATACCAGAAGAGGCCAAGTGGACTGATATCACTCATCGTTTCACTTTAAGAAGATTCTTCAAGGAATTCTTGGTGTTCCCGTTCTATCAATAAACTAAAGACCAGTTCTGCTGAAGACCAGTTCCGGTCTATCCTTGTGATGTTGACATCATTTGTTTAGTACTTTGACGCCCTCTGCAAACTCTCCCATCTGTATAAAATTTGCAAAGGTAAAATGAATTTACTATTCAATGAAGAAATACGTTTCCACAACAACGTAATTGCCGGACTTTATAATTTTGGAGTCGATGCCTTTATATTTTATAAAATATAAGAAAATTGACCCATCTCTTAAAATATTTCAATCCCAGTTTAGTTTCAACTTTATAGTATTGTTTTCTTTTTTTCCTTTTTGTTCCGCCAGTTATCTCTTTAACTCTTAGTTTTTATTTTTAAACATTTCACTCTTGCTATAAATTTTGTTAAATACACAGAATATTTACAAGTTGAAAAAATTACCTAAAAATATTAGACTCATCTAAAATTTTCGTTCATATATTGATTATATTGAATTTGTTGCTAGGAAATTCGTGACATAGAAGTTCTGTCTGTGATATCAATTAATATTCGATGGATGCAGAATGCTATGGTATTGACTAATCGATATGCTGTTCTGAACACTAAGGACTGACCTGATTTTCTTTTTTGTGGCAATGGTATATAATTTATGTATTTGGAGGCACACAGATTAGATAAATAGTAACTAGCTCAATTTTGAAATGACTGGAACATATTATCATTTTTTGAACTAGCAAGTAATGAAATTAATCGTTAGGGAGAATGTGTAGGTTTAAAAAATCTCAAATCCTTGGGATTAAAATTTCATTACTTGCTAGTTTAACAAACAAAAAAGAACTACTAACACGTAGCACTGTTCGTTGGTTAACTAAAAATATAAAAATAGGCAGTTCTAGGAGTGATCGATTATGCCCAACGCAATCGATCTTTCTCTTCAGTTTGACAATGGCATCTCTTACATTTTTTCCATTACATTAGTTGTTTCCAACCTTCTCTCAACCAATGTCCAGTTTAGCTATTTTATTTGTAGTAGGGACCAAAAGGTTCAAAAATAAATTCTGTTTGTTTAGAAATAAAGTTTAGTAGAAACTTTCAATATATTAGTTTAACAAACATTGATAAGAATAGCATCCTCCCGTTTTCTACTCATGCACCGCCACCCTCGTGAACCATCGGTTGGAACCACCGCATTAGACATTCATTAAGTGTTTCAGCCAGATATCATGAATTGCTGTTGATGTTGCAAATTTTCTTGCTTTCAATCTTTTCTGTATTTTCGAAATTGAAATTCTGAAATTTTTAAGGTATTTTGGGGTTTTCATTTCAAATCCTTTCTCCTCTCCCAGCAAAATATCACCTTCAAAGCATCACCTTTAAACGCATTATCCTTCGTTGACAATAAGTCAGTACTTTATGGTGGCGTTTATAAAGCATAAACTTCCGAGCAAAGAAGGACAAATGAACGCACAGGTATGGTCGCTTGCTTAAGGAGTTATTCAAGTCAGTTAGTCGTCTCTTTTCAGGTCAATGGATGACGCTTGGCGACATGTTTTTCAGTATTTTACCACTCATGAACGGATTCGTTATGAGCGCGTATCAACTAAGTGGATGGAACTTTTACAAGAATACTGGAAAAAATTAGACACGGTGAATACGGATAAGTTATGCATCGATGTATGCTTTGATCATTGGTCCGATTGTGTCCGAGCTGTATTAGGTATTTTACACAGTCACGCGCTTCCTGTAATGATCAGAACTTTTATAACGAAAATGTATAGCAATATTGATTGATCATGTGGTTCTAGATCATGATCATGTGGTTCTAGGAACTATTTCCACAATATAAGTCAAAGATATTGCAGTCCGATGTTCGCCTAACATAACATCATTCAGTTTCGGTCGTAACTGTCAGGGAACTCGCCATCGAAGTATAAAGAAGCAGTTACTTCCCGATGTTCTCGTTGAACTGTCGAAAAAAGCTCCATTGCTCAAATCATTTCGTGTTGAAGAGTAAGCCAGCCATTTCTCATAATTTCCATTTCTCTCAACGGTTTGACATTTCAAAATTCGATTTAGTTTCCTGCAGCGATCAGTGATTTTTATGTTATTCATACAAATTTAGAAGAGTGATAGCAAACAAATGTATCACATGATATACTTTTCATTCTTCTTTCAATAGCGAGATTTCAGGTAAGACTAAAGTTTCTTCTCATTTGTAACTTTTCTAACTATACCTAAAATTTTAAAAAAAATTCCTTTAAAAAGGAAAAGTAAAGGTATTTCCTCTTTTGAATTATTAAACTCAAAAGAAGAAAGACCTCTACTGTTAAACCATGAAAAGTATATCATATTCAAAAAGTATATCATATTCAAAATTAATAACTAACTTTGTGTTTGAAATTCAATATATATTACTGATAGATAGAGAATGATATAAACTTTAATCTAAATGGATAGACTTTAGTAGGCTTTAATCTAAATGAGTTAAAAATAAATTTGGATTCATTAAATATCATCGTTTTCAGCTGCTTTCTCCATGAAGATTCTATGAGTCTACTACAGAAATTATCACCTACGCTTAAGGCGAGAAATTATTTATTCTTAAAGTGGTTTTCCTAATATGTATGTTAAATGGACTACCTAATCTTCACTTTGCAGGTATTTTGCCTAGAACACTGTGTAATTGACTTCAGCGATTCGCACTTTGCCAATTCATGTTTTTTATCGCTCCTCGATCACTGTTCTACACTTGAAGAATTTGTCATCACGGTTTGTCCAGCTAATCTCTTTATACCTGCAAATTCTTTTTTCTTGAACACTGGTAGGAATTGACTTCTTTAAGAAGTAATTTGGATATATTCTGGATGAAGTAAGCATTTGAACTACTTTTCCTGCTCCTTTTTCTCTTTCAGCTTCTGTAGAGGGATTGGAAATTTTCCGATAATTAAATAATGATTTTGCCTTCACTGTTTATCCCTGTTTGCACTACTTTTTTTAACATTTTTAACGTTGTTTTTTTAAAAACAACGTTTGTCCCCTAATCCATTTCATATGAACTAGACCTTTGTTAGCTGACGATTTTTAAATAAAATTGTGATTAATCACCATCCATTTGCTGCATTAAAAAAACCATCTACTGTTTGATAAACTTCTGATTCCGCTTTGATAATGATGAAGAGGAAAGACTATGACAGTGAAGAAAGAGGATTCGCCAATGAAAAAAAAGCGGTTAAAAGGATTGAAACTCTTTCAAAAAAAAGTGAAATAGTTGATGTTCGTGAGGACACCGTTATCACAAAACAGACCGAATTTGATGGCGACAGTTTGATTGTAAGTGGTAGTCAGAGGGAATAACTAGTCAGGAAAATAGTAAAATAGTTACCATTGCGCATAGTCATGCGGCTACGGTAAAGCGGTTTACAGATCATTGTGGTTTTTATTGAACCTAGTTCAAATTCTTTATTTTATATGACGAGTTTTCCACGTTAAGGATTCCACGTTAACGACATTAGCAAACTTCGAATTGAAGGATTTCACACAGTAGTTTTTATTTGTTTAAAATCATGCTAAAAGTATTGGTTAGGAAAATAGTTGTTGAATGAACTAAGCTTCTCTCTTTCCATTCTTCACAAAGTTGTTCAACTTCTTAAAGCGTTTTGAGCTCGCATAACTGTTGTTGCTCCATAAAGCATTTGCGCTTAAGAATTATTATTAGCTCTAATAGGAGATCAGTTGTAGTTGCAATAACATAATTGATTAATTCTTTAAACCTTATGATGAAAGAAAATCTGGTAACAAGTTTTTTTTTATTCGAAATTCGTCAAATTTGGTTCCATAACAGCAGTTTATTGCAATTTTTTCGAATTCAGTATATCATCCTCCTACATCGAGCTCAGTAAGCTCGAATTCAGAAGAAAGTAAATTTAGTTTGAATTTCAAATCCTCGATAGTTAAACTCAACCTTTGCAAAAATTTAAAAACTTGGCCTTTCAAAATTTAACCTTTATAAAATTATGCTAGTTTCGGCAAGTAATAAAATCCAAAATTTTTTTGTTTGATTTAGGGACATGTGAAATGGTTTTGAAATATTCAAAGTATTCAATAGTTATATATATCATTTAATATTTTTATTATACACCTGCCTCGGTGGAAGCTTCGATGTTGTTACCTATTTACTGTCGACGAAGAAAAATTATTACTATTTCCTAAAAATGCAATTTTGAGGTTAGGGAAGAACTGTTTACAGATCTGTAAAAATGTTGGACAGGTACAATTGCCTAATTACTTTGCTCAGAATGAAGGTTGCTGGTAAATAAAATGCAGAAATCTTGATAATAGTGTCATTCTGGCGGATCCAATTCTGAAAAAAAAGTTTTTGGAATTGCATTTGCAAAAATGTCACTTGCATCTGTTGAAAAAACTAATTTGTGAATTTATTCTAAAGATATCTATCTTCCGGCAGTTTCAAGAGATTCCTATAAGCCATCTATTTTATTATATTTTCTGTCTCATTCAAATTAAACATCTTACCAGCATAGTATATAAATTGAGTTTACAGCTGTAAGTGATTTTACGAACTTAATATGAATAATAAATTAGATTCATTATTCGTTGACAGTTGGCTTCAAACTATCTAGAGAAAGAATTCAATGTTTGGGGACTTGTCAAGCAAGAAAATTCTAAATGCATTATCAGCAGCAGAAGCAGTAGTAAGTGTATATACTTCAGTAACGTGAAATCTAACTATGAAGTCTTCATCAGCAATCTTTAGAGTAGAAGTTGACTATCAGTGGAAGGCTTCACATATCCGAGATGATGTAGTTGGATCACATCACTACTGTTTGTTGATTCAGGACAAGAAAGAAAAGGACTGACAAGAAGGGGGAAAAAATGTTCGATTCAGCAAAGAAATACATTCCATTAAGATAGCATGTATGCAATGACCTGTTGTGATGCGTGTGAACTTGATGAATAGTCTTTTTGTCAACGAATACGAATGAACAAACTATCTTTGAGGCAATGATTTCCAATCTTACTGTAATTCAATTTGTAAACAATGTACGGCTGAAAAGCGTAGTTCAGTTTTCATCGAACAAAAACTTATGGAGTGTAATTATTGCATTTTGAAGACTTCGTGGAAATATTTGCATGATGTTAAATTGGGGGAATGTCGTTTTTATAGCAATCCTAGTAATGTCAAAAACATCTCACACAGTACAATGCAATTTGTATCACACCCTGAATCATTTACATGAAACAAATGGATTCTATTTGAATTCCGCAAAAGAAATCTCTGGCAAGCCACTTTATTCAACTGTTTCAAGAAAGTGTGAGAATATCAATTTATGATATAAACTTTAATTTTATTGTTTTATTTAATTTTCAATTTCGTAGATGAATTGACAACCATTTTTTAGCTAATCATATCTGTAATTCGATAATCCATAAACATATGCTTTCCTAGTAATGCTAAGTTTTGCTGTATAAAAAGCAGTGCTGAGCACTGCTTTTTTGTTGTTCGATTCTTGCTAACGTGCTGAAATGTCTTTAATGGATTAGATCTGCAGTTACTTGAGGACTGAAATGGAACTCAAAGAATTCCACAATAATTAATGATTCATTTATTTTAGTATTTTCCTTGGCTCCATCATTTTTTTGCTGTTCTTTGTTTATTCCAAGTTCAAATTTCAGGGTCATGATTCCTGTTACAGTTATTTGTACATCGATGATGACTTCATGGAGCATATACCGCCAACAGTGTCTATTCTGTGCATATCTGCCGGTGAAGCGCTTAAAATTAGGAATGCTAATTTTGTCTCCAGACTTAAAAAGTGGGTCGATTAAACATAAAAATAAGTTGTCCGTGTTGGAGTTCATATATTACTTCAAGTTAGGCCATAGCTTTTAGCAAAATCAATCAACTTTCAGAATGAAACGCTGTTCAAACCTTGGCACGAGCAGTATAACTCGATATGTCGTATAACTAATGGATCTTGATTAACAATACTATCTTTATAATTGAATTAGCAAGATATTAACATTTAAATATTCTTCAGGCTACGCTTATTTGATGCCCAATATTCATTTCTGAGCCTCAAACCACTCCAGGATTTAGTACACCATGCGCCCAATTTATTATATCTCGATTTATCCAATTCTCGATTTATAACAGATTTTTCACCAATTGGGGAATTGTCGAAGCTTAGGTATGGCTAACTACTATCCCCATTTTCGCTTAATAAACAAAAGTAATTTTTTCACTAAAATTCGTCATTTTTTATTATTTTTAAGCAAGCAATTTCCAAAAATATTGAAATTAAGAAAAAAAAACTAGGTTATTTTGCTCAGCAACCATAAAGTTGCGCATCCTTTTCCTTATTTAATCCTCGATTTTTTTTCTTCCTTGTACTTTCTTATCGCATCCTTTCCATTCTTCTGTTTATATCTGACACAGAATGATTATCTGCTCTTCATCACATTAATTACAGATGTTTATTATTAAATGGTAATCGCATTCATTTGAAAAATGAGCAACTGAGTGCCATTATCAATGGTTGTACATTACTGGAAGTGTTGTCGTTGAAAAGATGCTCCAAACTAAGGTTTGTCACATTTTTCAGTCAGTTATCTGTTCCCTATCGATATTTGATGAATTATGATGCCCTGTGCGCTGTTCGTCTATCTTTTGTAAACATTTATGCAAATGTGTTAATTTTATGTTCTTATGAATTTTATATGAGCTTTAATTCAAATAGTGCTACATTTATTCAGCAACGAAGACTTGAAAATAATCAGTAAATGTGCAACCTTGAAGGAGCTGCATTTAGCTGGTGTAACAGGTATGACGGACGATACTCTGATTTGTATTGCTTTTGGTGTCCCATTACTGAAGATATTGGATATCAGTTATTGCAATTCGGTTAGTAATTTCTGTAAATCTAGAACTACGCGAATTTAAATTTATAGAAAAAGAACTAAAAATGATCACTATGTTTTGCGAAAAGTATTTTTAGTTGACGTCAAAAGGGCTGGAAAGTTTGGCTATGCTACAAAAACTCGATCATCTCTGCTCTAACGGAATCTACGATTTCGATGATAATTTAGTAGATATGATCCGTAAATGTCGACCTCATTGCGTCATAGAAGCATTTCATTGTCGATATTCGATGAGTACTAATGAACTGTTTCAAATGTAAGTGATACTTTCTTTCCCTTTCATTTATTCCAACAAAACGAATACCATCCACTTAATAAGTTTTTGTACCATTTATGATTGAGGTTACACTGGTAGTGGTGACAATGATAACTGTAACGAGATTTTGCTGCAATGGTAATTTATTTCATCGTTTGTAATAGTAACTTTGCATTTGAAGCAAACTGATGAAGGATGGGAAGAAAAATTGTTCCAATTGGATTTTTTGATTCTGTTTCAAATTTTCTGATCCACCTCAACACAGTGTTCATTTCTGTCTTCTTCATTCATTAAGTTTCGAAACTTTTAGAAAAGAAATCTCAAATTAGTGTCCTTTACATAGTAAGGAAAACAAGAAGTGAAGAGATTGAAAGACTTTTGCAAGTCTGGAACAAATCTATTTCTGCGAAATTTTATGGAACTTTTTGGTATTGTCCTTCTACTCACTCCTTATTGTTTTACTACTGTCGCTGAATTTAGATGTATTCTTGGTTTATTTCACTGCTTTGGTATCATCATTCAAAGTTATGAAGGCAAAAAATTTGAATTGCATGCTTTTATAAAGTACAACTTTGCTTGCTTTTATATTAAATAATTGATTTTCAGGGCATTTTTGAAGCCGATGGTAGAGCCCGAGTCTGTGAGAAGTACCTACCAGACATCTCGTTATCACTATATTTGATAATCTACATTGTGAATTCTTACTCTTCTTTTTATTTTAATACGTTTGGATTGTTGATATGTGTAAACTCCAATTCATAAAATTCGTCCGCTTTACTTGGTCGCTTTTACAGACAACATGCTTTTGACTGCTATTTCTTTGACTTTATTAGTTCTTGATATAAATTGTCCCCGGAATCCTAGCATTATAGGTAAATAAATGAATAAATAAATATATATGCTTGAATTTATCATGAAATGTTTGTTTTAGTACAAAACAGTTAGATTTAATAATACGGCCCGTGTTAATCGATTTATTCAGTCGTTAAATGAATTGAGAGGGATATTTTATCAGCTATTATTTGTTTAAGAATGGCTACACCTAAAGGGATGTTCGGCATATCTTGTTAATGCCTTCCAGGATTATTGCATTCTGAAAAACGAACGGTCGTGATGTTTTAGATTTAATGTATTGGCTTCGATTAGATATGCAAAAATTTCTCCTTCCTTAGAAAAGCAAAAACACATTTTTCAATGGTCCCAAACATTTTAGCATCGTCTCATTTTTACAAATGATTGCACTCATTCATACTTCAGAATATCACTCCTGCTTACTTATTGTTTGTAAACGTGTGCTGGAATTGATTTTAAATAACAAGTTAATTAAATATCACATATGACTAAGAACTGTCCTCTTCTAGTAAATAGTAATTTGAGGGAGAATATGTATATTCCTGAAAATTTTTTTTCCTCTTTAATAAAGTTTGCGTGTTGCTCAAAGTTAAATTTTCTATTGTCATTGTCCATACGAAACTTTCTTCGGACATGAATATTAAGGTTGGAAAAGAACCAAGATGAAAGTACCATCTTTTTATTGAAATGGTGATGGTGAGAGGACGAAGGCCAGGACGGATAGAATAGAGAGAATGTCGATTGTTTACACAGCAAATTACGATTATAATAAATGTCACCACCCAATCGTGGTTACTTGAGTGTCTCGGTAAATAATGTTGCCTGATGATAGCGGTACCTAATATGTACGGTAGTATGTAAAGTCATTGCCGAGAAGAATGTCTTTGATAATTACTCTCCTGACTTTCATTCATTCAGGTATTTTTAGAAATTATGATAGTGTGCCCATGAGTTATTTGGGACCTTTATGACTAACTTTACTTATTATCACATGTTTAGCTCGCCCAGACCTGTTGTTAGACTTTTTATTTGATGCAGTAAGCGTTCTTTATATTGGGATTTGTGGAAAAAAGTCTCGCACAATTCAAAATGCTCGACTCAACAATATTCCCGAATTAATTATCCAAATATTTGCTTCTACTTTCATTTTAAACATAAATTTTAAAACTCTCTGAACAGATATCTTTTCCACTAAAAGTCAACATTTATTTCATATCACACCTTATGCAGTACCGATGCCATTATTGTAGCTTATGGTTGCATACCTTTTGATTACGATACTATTGCACAGAATGTGGCATTACGGTCACACTATGTTTTTGGTGAAAACACGCTTAAATCGCAACCAATCAGTATCAGTAAGTGACAAAAGCAACTTACAATTGCAAAAGATTAAGTTCTTCAGAATTTTCTTTGCCAATGAGTAAGGATGTATTATAGATTGAGCACAGTGACAATTTTCAATTTATGAATGCAAGAATCATAACAGAAACACATCGCTTCTTTACTTGTCTTTGCAATTGATAACCTTATCCAATGGTTAACAGAGTATTAATCAGGCAAAATGAATAGGTCAAACAATGGAAGCAAATAGACCCATTGAAGGAACAAGCGATTTATTCTGCTATGACTTCGATTCCAGTTGTCGATGGCATAATATCGATAGTTTATTGATGAATGATGATTTAAACTGGTTCCGTGGTAATGGCTTTCTAGATAGTAATCGCTTGCAGGTTTATATTAGCTTTTCAACATTTTCTTCTTTGAATGCTAGAAAAAGTGAACATATCTCAATTTTTAGATTTGGATTATCAAATTAAACATTCAAACTTCAAAACCTGACCAGAAAAATTGTTAAAAAGCAGTCGACGCACATTTTCCTTTTTTTTTTGTGCAAAATGTCAATTGCATCATTTGTAAAGTTAGTTTACTTGCGCATGATTTCAAGATGATTTTAATGGATTGAGAAGTTGATCCAATCAACGATCTCAGTGAGTAGTGTGTCTAACAAATATCGGTTGAGTCAGCAGGTTAAAAGCATTTCATAAAATAATTTAAGAGAACTTTAATTTATTACATCACGATTAATTATTATAAGATAATTCCTATAGGTATCAACAGGAACATACGTTACACCTGATGGAACTTATGGCATTGTGGCAACTGACCGAATCAAGACTCCGAATTCGAAGGCGATATTGATTAGCGATGTGATAACCTGCCAGCTTGGGCCGGGAGAACTGCGATTTATGTGAGCGCACATTTCCGTTAGGACCTAAATAAAGAAACTGAAAGGGTAGTGGACAATTCAAAGGCAAAGAATTGTTAAAAATTTTGAAAATTTCTTGAACAAGTAATAGAGGGTCATGTGAAGCTGGAAGTTACTCGACCGGTTTGACAGCACTGCAAATTATTTTTCGGATTCCAGGTATTGGATAAGTCCAGAAGTAAGATTAACAGTATGTATAAAGCGCACCAATCGACCATTTTCGAATGTTGATTTTTGCACTAGCCCTATAAGAGGGGGCAGTCCAGGACCTGCACAAATTAGCATTGTTGACCCTGGAAATGCACCATTTCAGGTTTGCTTCTAGTTTTAATTTAAATGATTGAAAACGTCCAAAAATATTCCGTAGCTACTTCATTGCTGGCTCACCTGGTTTCTGATAATGTCATAACTGGAGAAATATCAATTAAGGGACATCTAACGAAATCCCGGAACATTATATTGTGGGACATTATGTTCAAAATCTAGTCTCACTATCTCGGTGTTTCGGTTTCGGTAGATTTCTTCAATGCTACCTAAAATTTTAGGTCCGCATCATTTTTTCACCCTTCAGTTCACTTTCCAACGAAATTTTTTCTTTATTTTGTAGATTCTGATCCAAGCTGATAATTTCGTGTTTCATTCTGCTAATTTGGAAGGCGGTTTTGCCATTATTGACAACTTGGAGTATTATGGCGATCTGTGCTCCGATGCTACTTTGCTTCCGATTAATGCTCGAACTGTATTTATTAAATTTAAACTTAGCCTTTGACCTTTCGTACTGATTTTAGGTTCTTCCAACTCCAAAAACTTTAGAAAAGGACAATGCTGCGATCCTATAAATTTGTACTTTCATTCATTCAATTCTAATTTCCGCATTTGGAGTTTAATTTTTTTTTCTAGCAAGATTTCATCACATCGCAATTTATGCACGACGAAAGTGAATCGACGCAAAATTCCAGCATAAAAACCACCTTTACGATTTATAAACCAGTATGTAATGTACTACAGTGTACTTTCGACAATGAAGACGATCAGTGTGACATAGATAGTTCAAATTCACTGTGGTCCGTTGCGCGTACTGATATTGACAGGACCTGGATAGAGAACAACGCTTCTAGCCTGCTTTATAACCCAGGTGCAATAACCTGCTGCTAATTTGGAATTCTGAGAAAAAAAAAACTTAAGATAGTTATCAAACTTGAATTACTATTCGAAATGAGGAACATTGTTAGGGGAAGTCATACAAATGACTCGACAGATTAAATACTGCTGAATTTTCTTGACTTTCGTAACCTTAGAGGTTACGAATCTCATTTCAATCAGTACATCATTTTTTTAATAAAAACATAAAAAAAGAAATATTTTCCAGTGGGCTCGTTTCTGTATATCGCAGGACCTGTAACAAAGGCTCGTCTTTATGTTGCACCCTTCCAATCCACCACTGATTTCAACTTTGTTTTCGCTTATTACAAAACTTCAAACAGTTCGAAACTTCGAGCTGTCGCCAAAATGAGTGAAAAACCTATGGAGCAAACTATTTTCATGGTACTTCATCCACTCTTTTTACGATGGACGTTGTTTTCACGACATATTCTAAGAATCATATCATGCACCGAAACATATGTTGTACCGCTTCAAGTCTTAAATTTCTTTAAACTGATTGCAAAAGCAGTTTATTTACAGGCTCCGACACAGAGGAAACAGACCAAGCGATGGTATCGAGAACTGATTTCTCTAGAAGCGGGGATATACGATTATGTCAGTTTATCCATTAGTCAAATATAATTGCCGAGATTACTAATTATATTCGAGATATCTTTGCTAAACCAAAGATAAACCGGGAGAAACAAATATCGCTTCAAGAAATATACAGAGTTCGTGATAAGGGTCAGAATCCTACATGGCAACCCTGTGCAATCTTCAATGCACCACATATTGTATGACACACCTCCGGCCTTCTATATTCAAGAGTCTAAGCTAACCGAAACCTCGAGTTAAAAAATATTCCCAATTCAATCCTATGAATGTCCTGTCAAAATTACTTTACAGATAGCTATAGAGATTCAAAACTTGAATGACGACGAGCACATCGGTATTGATGAATTCCTGGTGTTAGATTCACAAAGGAGGCCAATCTGTTCTCAGCAGAGGAATTCCTGATTCCGGCTCCCGCCTTTGTATCTGATAAATGCAACTGCTAATACAAATTGTAAACGTCTGATTGAACTAATATGTATTTTACAAGTCGATAAACTCTTCTGAAAATACTTCACACTCATCCTGAGAAGCATGACACTTGACATCAACAGATATAGTTAAATAAGTAATTCTAGGAAACACGCCGCTTGAACAAATGAACTTTTGAAGGGAATGCATTTCTTGAGTAATAGAAATAATATATAGAAATGTTAACCCTTCTTCGCCTTCTTTCGAACACAGCTGGTAGCTTTTGTAGCAATCACAAAAACATAATTTTTAAATGATATCAAGTGAAAAGAATAATTAATAACTGGTAGTCATAAATTAATCACCCAAATCATAATTTGTATTCATACAGTAGCACTAATACAACATCTTTAAAGGAAGATCGTTTTCCACAGTTAGTTGCAAAATGTACAAATCTTGATAAAACCGGTGCAAAATTAAATTAAATGAAAAGAATAACCCTTTACACGAAACCGTATAACAAAACTGAGCAGGGAATTTCAAAATCAATTTTCAAACTACGTAAATTAGAATTGTAACGCTATATTTGCCGTAATGCGTTTAGCACTAATAGCAGTAAATTGTTATACCAGAACATCATCTCAGATGCAGCTTAATTCTGTAACAGATTTGCTAAAAACAACTAAAAATTTGAGTTTGGTAAGAAATCCATAAAATAAAGCTTGGATTAGTTTTTCATGAGATTGGTTATTCAATAACATTAGGAATAGTGCAATAAGATTCAAGTGATCTTTAACCCTCGAAACAAGAGTGGAATATTTCCGTGATATGAAATAGATTCAAAAATGCCAAAACTGCAACATCAATTACCTAATTAAGAAGCGCAGATTGATCTTAAGAAATACAATTAGAAGTATTGCAGCAAAGGCATATTTTTCAAGAGATTACTCCCTAATAGAATGTGAGAATATGGAATCACGACGTCCAAGTGAAGGTAGAAATGTAGAAGTGGAAAGGATTTGTCGAAAACCACGAGACGGTACCGTGAAAGCCGCGGGATGTGTTCTTCCGTCTGGTGATGTCCTTTCAAAACTTTCATCGATTGGACGAAGATTACTGCGAGAGTGCAATCGCGACAATGTATTCGATATACCCAAATGCACGGTAGACATCGCACGCCTGAACTGATTTTGTGGTCGTGCACGAGGAGTTCCTAATGCCTGATATCCGCCAAGTGGATTTCGAACCCTGAAAGGACGTTTGTGCATTGCTCTGCAGTGAACTGACACTTATACTCAAGAATGAGTGGGAGAAAATTATTACGTCACCGCTTCTATATGTCACAATTTTAATGAGAAATTATGTTTGCAAAGGCAAAATAATCAAAATAACCATATAAAATCTGATAGAATGGTTCAAGAGGACTTCCTTTTTTGTCGTGCGGGGTTAAAAGTATATTCTTTTTGGTAACTATAAAAAAAAGCGCCTGAAGCACTGAATGAAGCTGTGAAAGCTAAGGTAGGTGTCCATACCCACCTGTTTAGGACGAGGCCGTTTCTTATGGAGAATTCCATTCGTATCTATTATGGATATATGAATTTTTAATTCGAACTGCTTACGCATGATTTAATGCTTTCTTGATAGTCGCTATATTTTCCTTGACACCTAATGATGAGGGATCTTCGTCGAAGTTCACTTTCTCCACCAGAGTATTCCTTCCCACCAATTTATATACCTGCGATGAAAGAATGGAAAGTCAATTAGCGTAATATAGTGTAGTAGCGTAATACAGCTTCCTACCTGAGCCATTAGCAAACCAACAAATAAAGTTTGAGAAAAACAATCGCAAAAAATTAAAACTTAAGGAAAAAGTTTGCCTGATCTGCAACTGCACGCAAAAACTTTTCCAGCTCTCCTTCCTGATTTTCTAAGCATTGTGCCACCCAAAAATCTTCACCATGGCTAACTCGGAATGAGAGGACGAACACACCACATATGTCTAAATTTTTCTATAGTTTTACAGGAATTCTGATAGGTAACTTATTTGAATTTAATGTAACATGAATAACAAATGAATCGAAAAATCATTTCCAGTTTCTGCTCACATTTTATGGAAAAGTTAGACGTTTACCAGCATGTTCAAGACTTTGTATTCTGCGAATTGAAGCAAGCATATACTGCTGATGATGCTTGTATTTTTTCTTGCCGTGCCGTAATACAGAAAAAGACAGCTGTCGGGTAAGGGAATAATTTGAAAAACTACGCCGTGTTGGAGTGCTGCTATCATCATTTCCTGTTCGCACCTTAACAGAATACAAACTGCGTTCGATATTGGCAACTCTAGTACTTTTTTTCAAATATTTGAAATTGTATTTTGTATTTGCTAAGAGTAAAAATTTTGCTGCCAACAATTTCTACTATTTCTCATGCACTTTTATGTCAAAAATTACCTTAACAATTTCTATTAAATCATTAAACAAAAATATGGCCATTCGTTTGTTCCGAGTTCTGGCCCATTCATCCTCACCTCCCAATGACAAAACATGCAGTTCGGTTTTTAATGTCCGAGCGCTTGATAATATATCAGCCTGAAACCATTCCAGTATACCCTATTTCCACTAACTTGAACCTCGTGAGACGTATATGACTGCTACTAAAAATACTCCTATATTTAGATATGTAAACTCTACTGAATTTCATGCAGTTCTGGAAAAATGCTTTTGAAATGCATCTTTTAATTGTTACGGTATTATACTGGAAACATCTCACGAAGAGATTTTTCTCACTCGATGTTTACTCTTTTCCTCTCCTCTAAATGAAACCCGAAATTATTTTTGACATCACTGTTGCAGTAAACTTACGGGACATCGTTCAATTTCACTAGACAACTTGAAAATCATTGCATAAGAATCAGTCTGCCTGCGGGATTCGTTCGCTTCTCTGAAAAAAACGAAAACATATCTTCAAACTTTTAAGAATTACTTGTACGGAGGTAAACAAAACTTCACATCTTTTTTCAAACAGGTCTCAGCAGGACTGTTGGAATGAATCAAATATTACGTGAGAGCTGCTTCCACGGCTCGTTTCGCTTTAATCAAATAAGCATGATCCGGATTTTTACGATCTGTCTTTTCCAAAATGGCTGTAAAATAACTACACCTTCATTTAACTGAAAAAACTTTGTAAGAATGCCAAATTTCTTTGAAAGCAGAAAATACCAGATTTTGAAAGCAAAAATTGGAGAACAAAGCAAAGGCTTCCTATCATAGTAATATGTATTCGACAAGCAAATAAATATAGCACAAATATACCCTTTAGAAGTAAGACTACTGAGTGTAAACGTTGCACCGGCCGTACCAATAAGTCGGGTAAACTGTTCCGTTGACACTCCAGACGACTTTCCGCAGCCTCAAAATTAAAATTTCAAGAACTTCAAACGAAATGATTGATTTTGAGAAACAAATCTGATACTTCTACTTATTTGATAAACAACTAAAGCCTATAAGAAAGCACTTTCCAGCCAATTTGTATCTCATGATTTTATGTAATTCAAAAGCCAAATGAAACTAATATTGAGAAATGTTTTTTGTGAAGTTCAGTTACAACTTTTATAAATACCTTCAAAAAAGCATGGAATTTTGGCTTAGTCTGATCGCACTCATTCAATGTTTGAATGGCTGTATCATAATTATTGATGAATGCTTTATATACCGGTGTCAATTCAGCAGCATGGTCCAACCAGACCTATGAAGAGAGAGCAGGTCTACGAGCAATAAAGAGAGATTTAACTCAAGTATTCAAAAAACTATTTCAGACTATCTTGTCACTGTTACATTTGTCCACAATGCTATATGAAACAACCCTAAATTATAAATTGGAGCAAATAAGAGTTATCAATCCTCTACTCCTGAATACTTACAGTATTTCGTATCATTAATACGTCACAATTTTACTCCTGATTAAACTGTTATCACAAATGAAAGTTTCTAATGTACCCAGCACTTCTTACTGTACATGCTACTCTCTATTTGAATTTTTACCATTCTATCAACCACTGATTAATATATAAACCCGATTACTTTAATGTCTCTTATGATCGTATTCTTTTCCAACGACTATAAAAGTGTTAATTATAAATCTCGTTGAACATTAATAGTGATAAGTGGCATTGACAAGAGTTAATAGAAGATGGTGATGAAAACGAGAAAGACATTGATCACAAAATATATTTTTTTTCTGCTATATTGTCCAAATTAATGACAGGTCAGTCTAGAATAAAAAGCGATGGAATAAAGTTTAAAAAAAAGTCGAACCTTCCCAATCAAGCGTTCATTCATCCAGTGCATAATATAGCTTTGAAGTGTGCGACAAATGTTCTCATGAACATCAATTAATGGGGGTACTTTAGCGAATATTTGACTTATTTCAGCTTTTGTGAGCAGACCACTATCCAGATTCGGTAACTGTACTTCAAGGGGTTCTTTGAACACCTACATAGTAATTCAAAATGATCCAAAAAAATAAAATCCGTATAAAGAGTTTTCAAAACAAGAATCAGAAAATGCGTAAAAACAGAAAGTACTTCGAAAGAAAGGGTTTGGGAAAATGATGGGAAAGGTGTAGACATATAATGTTATCCAAGCTTATAAACACTATCTTAATTAACAGCTTAATCTCTAAGTTCAACAAAGATTATGGAAAATATTATTATAAAAAATATAATTATATCCAAGAAATATCAATTTCGCAATATGGATATTTGTCGTTAGTAAACAAATTTATGAATCCCTTTGCTTATAACTAATATGGCGCATGACAAATCTGCGGTCATCTCATTTACCTGTAGTTGCGATAACAGTAAGGATCGATACCTGTACAACAATTTTCAATGCTCTTAAATAATTTTCCTCAGTCTCAAGCATTTCTTTACACACGGCGTATCTTTTGTCGAGTCTTCGCGGAGAACCATTCAATATCTCAGGATCATCCGTTGATAACAAATGCTCTGAGTAATCTGAGACTAATGAAGTATTTAATATTTATTGGTATTCTAGCGGTAGATGAATGCCAGCAGCAAAAAGAATAAATTGAATCAACACTCCACATGCGCTCCACAGAATATGGACATGAACGTCATAAGACTACCAGTCATAGTTTAAAGAAGTTAAAAATACAGTTATATCCCACTTTTGGATTTTTTACAAGTGTAAAAGTCCTGCATAAAAATCAGAAGCAAAGAACCAGCAAACCTGGAAGTGCTGAACAATTGCTGCTATCAAGAACTTCCATGGATGACCTGAAAAAGATTCCTCATCATAGTCGAATTATCAAACCGAAAAAAAAAATTCTCCATAACAGAGGATGAAAAAACTGCCTACTTGGATACAGATTTCCTAGCAGCTCGACTTGTCAATTCAGTGGCATTTGGTGAGAGCATGGAGTTGTGCTTGGTCCGTTGGCCCTTCCACTTATAGATATTTTCGTTGGCACAACAGTTCAACTGTACAGAGATCCAAAACCACTGAAAATGGTACATTGCTGCGTAATAATTAATAATAATAATTAATAATAATAATAATAATAATAAATAATAAATAATAATAATAGTAGCAATCAATAATAATAATAATAATAATAATAATAATAA